TTCTTGTCACTTGTGATGCCAACTTCCTGCCATGTCCTGGCAGCTCTGAGCATCCTTTGTACTCATGCTGCATGGGTCCTCTCGCAAAGCCAATTGTGCTTTGGTCCTTGTTCCTCTAACAGCATCTTCTGTAAGCTGCTTAGAGAGGATCTGATTCTAAATTCACTGAAGAAGAGCAGGCACACGGGTGGGTCTGCTGCTTGGTCTGCTCTGAAGGAATCCTGAAGGAGATTTTGTGCAGCCTGTGTCACCAGCCAAGGCCAAGGAGGCAGAGGACACATGGCTGACTCAAGGCCCAGCGGCACTCCTGAATTGAGTGTATTTGTCAGCTGGCACACTGACCCTTTCCCAGGGCTTTGTACATGGCTACCTCCAACTCGTTTCCTAAACTGCATCCTCATGAAGTATAACTCTTCTGCAGAGGAGCCAAGACAGTCAGCGGGTAAACAAGAGGAGGGGGACACCTCCTCAAGCCATCTTTCCTGGCAAGGAACCTCCTCCGAGAGCTACACCTGGCCCGCAGCCTACCTGTCAGAATTACTACAAACAACTAGTTCCTGTGGATGTCAGGGACCGGGACACTCTGGTTATGCAATGTTAGTAAAATGTTGTTGTACAGGTCCTTGGTTTAGGAGACAAAAAAAAAAAAAAAAAAAAAACCCCTACACATGTGAGTGTTAAAAACCCCACAAAGAACCCCAAAGATAAACTTTGGCTGGGGAACAGAGCGGATGTACCCAGCAGGGCTCACCATCTCCAGCAGGTGTGGAGGGGCAGGAATCAGGCAGGAGCCCCCATGCCCTCCAGCCACAACAAAACTGCCAGGGCAGTTTTAAAAGGCCCTTGGAGAGCCAGCCCGTGTCTGGCAGGATAGTTCTCGTGCTGGCTCAGACTGAAACTAGTTTTCCTTCCAGCCGCTTCCCACCTCCAGTCTATACTTTCTTCTCTTCTTTCTCTCAGCTCTCTCCTCGCTTCTGATGACAAGATTCCAGTGTTTCCCACCTTGAAAGAAAAAGTTAACAACCCAGTGCCCCTCCAACTTGCTTCCCCCCATAGAGTGATCATCTTCTCACCTTTCTCACACAAAACTTTCTGTTTTTTTAATTTTGATTAATGTGCAATCCTTGGGGCTGATAACACAGCAGAGGCGCTAACTATCGTCGGGGGAAGGCAGTGCTTTAAAACGATAACATCTGAATTGAACAGTGAAGGAAAATTAGGAGTGTGACAAGAGAGGAAGGAAGAACAGCCTTCAAGACAGGAGAAACTTGATGCCAAAGAATATTGTAGTGCATGTTTTTTAAATTTTATTTATTTGAAAGTCACAGTTTCAGAGAGAGAGGGCAGATACAGAGAGATTTTCTACCTGCTGGATTATCCCACAAAGGGCCACAACAGGCAGCCACTGTGGTACAGGGGGTTATGTGTCCCATATGGGCACCAGGTTGAATCCCAAGTATCCCACTTCTGATCCTAGCTAATAACCTGGAATGGGCAGGACTCAAACCACAGCTCATACAGGAAGCTGATATCACAGATGGCAGTTCAACCCACTATGCCAGAATGGGCCCCAGGAGCAAGAAAATCTTAGGGCTGGCAGGTTAATCCTCTGCCCTGTGACGCCGACACTCTACATGGATGTTAACTGATGTTCCAGCTTCTCAACTTCCAATCCATTTCTCTGCTTATGGCCTGGGAAAGCAGGAGAGGGTGGCCTACATCCTTGGGACCCTGCACCCACCACCCACATGGGAGACCCAGAGGAAGTTCAAGTTCCCAGCTCCTAGCTTCAGATCAAATAAGCTCATCTCTGGCTGCTGTGGCCATTTGAGGAGTGAACCAGTGGATGGCAGACTTTTTCTCTCACTCTCTCTGCTTCTATCTCTGTAAAAATCTGCCTTTCAAGTAAAAAGAAATAAATCTTTATTTATTTTACTTAAGTGACTGATTACTGATTTGGTAAAGGAGTTAAGTGACAAATCAAGGACTCCCAGATGATACAGGCACCCGAAGAGACCACAAATTCATTGGGGCAAGACAGAAAATAGAGAAAGAAACCTGCTTTTATCAAGTCCATGTGGGGATGCTGGACATTCCAGGCAGCAGCCTCTCCCAGAATTTTTTCTGTACCCGCAGTCAGCAAAGACTATGTATGGACACACAGTCATCGCAGCTGTGAGTGCAAATAATGCACAGCTGATCAAGGTCATCTGGAAACTGGAAAGAAAATCTCAATCACAGACAAACTGTGGACCTTGGAAAAAACAGGCTGTGAAACATCAACAGCTCCTCCAAGGAACCATGAGCATGTGAGAAATGCTACTCTTATCCTAAGGGCCAATGGGGAAAAATCACCCTTGGAAACACAAGCAAGTATTCTGAGAAATCTGCCTTCATGACATTGTTACGTATTAGCAGTTTGTTTCTGGTTTTGTTTGGGGAATTTTACGATTTTCTGAAGCCACCACATCTCTCCCTAATGCAAGCACCTCCAAGAGCTATTTCAATCTGTCTATCTTTTGTAAATCTATTGGTTTCTTTCACTTTGCACTTGGCTGTCCCTCGGTTACCCTCCTGAAGCTTCAAACTAAGAGAACAAGGCTAGAAGAACACAGATGCATCATTCCTCCTAATGCCATCCATCCTTTAGAACAAAGAGTTCCCCAAATCCTCCTGAAGGACCACAGTACACAGAGCCACCAAGTTCCTTTAGTGTATCCTTCCACTACATCCCTCCATTAACCTGTCCTAAACGCCTTAGACAACCAGCTACCCGTCACTGTTCTATGTTCTTGTGCATGGTCTGTTTTTGACTCCTTGTATGCTCTTCCTTTCTCCAACAGAAATTCTGTTCACTAGTGATAAAGCTTCCTGAGGACACGACAGAGCCCCTCTGTATCCAACAGCACCTTACAGTTCTCTGTACTTCCCCAGCATCTGCCTGTGTCGTGGCCCAGGTATTTCTTTTGTTGCCATTCTTTAAAGACAATCATACATTATGCCCATTTTCCACTAGATTATGTTCCACTTAAAACAAAAAAAATTTTTTCTAGACGTTTATTCATTTGAAAGTCAGAGAGATAAAGACAGGGAGTTCCCATCTATTAGCGCATACACCAAATGCCCACAGTGGCAAAGGCTGGGGCTGTACTTGAGCAAAGCTAGGTGACAGGGCTTGGATCATGCCTGTCCCCATGAGCTATCACTGCTGCTTCCTGGTGCAAATACCAGCAGCAACCACTTGAGCTATCACTGCTGCTTCCTGGTGCAAATACCAGCAGCAAGATGGCAGATCAAGTTTCCTAAAGTTGAGACTATGTTCCAGCCTTCTCTCCAATGTTCACCGCCATGAACACGCAGTAGAGTCTGATGAGGACTCAAATCATAAAGTTCCTGACTTACTCCACTAAAGCCTGTGGATTATCAGCAGAGAGGGAGACTGAGAACACGCAGACAGCCTCCCTCCTCCACTTTGCCGGAGATGCACGCACCACCCTGCTGAGAACTTAAACCAACCTCAGCAAGAAAGACTCAGCAGGCGCAAAGTGGAAACTTGAAAGGACTCACTTGGCTGCTATTAGTCAGGTACTGACCTTGGGATGTGGGCACAAGGATTATATATTTTATTTTGCCATCCACTCCCTCTAACACTCTGATACCTCTAGCTCTATGGACAATAAAGAGTCTTTCATTCAGGTTGAATATTATCTTTGAGCTCCTCTGGGAACAGCCTAGCCTTCTCTGAACCCTCTCACCTTGCCAGGGAATAATTCCACAGCACTGCCTCTGCAGTGACCCCCTCTTGGAAAAGTCATTTTCTCCTTCACAGACCCACTTCCTCTACCCTGCCCCCTCTTCTGAACCTTTACCATGAAAGGGACCTCTCCAGAAAGTATGACACACTGCAAAGAACTGACAGGTAGAACTACTAGGTGCTCCAGCAGCAGAAGCTTCCTCACTGAATATAAAAATTTACAAAATTCTGATTCATAACTATCTTACACGTCTTATCTTCCTCACTAGGCTGTGAGCCACTTGAGAACTATCCTCACTTCCCAACAAGTACCCAAGACAGAGTGTGCACGCAAAAAACTACACGCTGAAAAAATAATAGTGACAATGTAAAATAAACTGCTGCCCCAGGCCCCTTGGCCAAATTCAGTGACGATATGAGTTCAGAAGCAGCAGCATTGCAGAGACAAACAAAACCAAAAATGCTTTTCCGTAGCTGGCCCTGTGATGCAAGGGCTCAGCTGAAGGCAGCCTCAAACAAGAATCCTTTTGACAGGGCAAAATCATTCTCCAGGTTCTTCAGATATTCGCTATGGTCAGAGCAGTAAACTTAGTTCTCCAGAAATTACTTTTCTGAGATCTGGCAATTCAAAAAAAAAAAAAAAAATACATTCCCCAGTGCCCACTTCAATGACTCTCCTATACCCTTCTGACCTTTACTTCTGCATAACATTAGATGAAAACTCGATTTTTTTTTTTTGCTATTTATTTCACAGCTGAAGAAAAAATATACTGTGTAAGGTGTTAAATATTTTTACATGCAACAAACGTGGCAGACCTGTATGCACACTTTAGAGGTGCTGAGGTAAATGTCAGCGCTGTAATTTGTTACAGGTTTCTGATGACCAGACCAGCAATGAAAGTGACCACGGATTCTCACAATTCCAACCACTTTTACGTAAATGTGAACTTTCCTAAAACAGCCTAAGGAGAGAACTTTCCAACCAAGCTCACAGGGTCTCTCAGAGATACTGATAGTATTGTTCACTGGGTTAGGTGCTGTTTGGAAAAAAAAATCCATCTTTCAAATATTAGTTTCTTTCTGGGCCTATGCTTTGACCTTTAATAAAAATGTGCTTCAAGACACCAGTTATTAAAAATGAAAGGAACTGTGTTTAATGCCTGAAGAGCTGTCATTTCATATAATCAACCCTGCAGAACGCTATACCTTAACAAGTTAGCAGTTTAAAAAAAATGACCTCACTTACCATACGTGGAGTAAGGTTATAAGAAACCATGAGTTGAATGTATCTGGCATCTGACACCCTAGAAAATGACAATAAAGTATAAATGTGTGATGGATGAGGGAGGTATGCTGACTATTATTGTAAATATTGGTAGGAATTTGTTTCACTAAAATACACGGCAACTACAGTGCTTCCTGCTTATGCTATCTCAGGGGTCACTGATACCAAGGACTGACAGACTGAATGAGGCCAGCCAGTCCCCTAGTTCCAGCCTTGTTAGCACCTAGCTGTGTGGCCTTGGGCAACCCTCCCTAGTGAGTCTGTTTTCTCACTTTGTATAACCTGGCCTAGAAGATCTCCATGGCTCCTTCCAACCTCTCTGGAATTCTCTTCCCTTGCCAAGTTTGACTTCCCAACAGTCAGGCAAATGCCACCTCGACGACAACCCCTTTGGACTATCAGCGTTTTTCATTTGAGCCTTATAATCTTCTTCTTCCTACCTTCTTTCTGTAAGGTTTACCAGTGTACCATGGACATAAGTAAGCTGAATTTATCCCAAAAGATAATCAAATTACCACAAAAGACAATCATCGGGAATAAAAATTGAGGCTCTAGGTACCAGAGCAAAGTGAGAAACAAAGCAGACTAGAGCAGTAGTGACCCATTCTTGGTTTCAGAGCCAATCAGGGCATTGTTTTGACATCTCACCTCTGAAATTTCAGATTTCTAAAAGATGAGTCTAGGTAGTTGGGGGTTACCCCACCCACTGGATACAAAAATTCCTTATCACATCACAGGCAGACAAGCTGACAGGAGGATGAAGAGAAAAGAGAGCAATGAGAAATTTGGAACCTTAAGGTAACCTGCTCTTGGGAGCAAATTCTAAAGATAGAGGCAGTGGGGTACAGTATTGTGGTGCACAGGTGGAGGCTGCATAGGTAACACCAGCATCATCTATCTGAGAAGTGTCTTAATTACCAGCTATTCTCTTTTCACTTTTTAAAAATTTACTTATTTTTGGAAAGGCAGATTTACAGAGATGAGGAGAGACAGAAAGATCTTCAATCCACGGGTTCACTCCTGAAATGGCTGCAACAGCCAGAGCTGAATTGATGCAATGCCAGGAGCCAGGAGCTTCTTCTGGGTCTCCCACATAGTTACCAAGTCCCAAGGATTTAGGCAATCCTAAGCTACTTTCTCAGGACACAAGCAAGGAGCTAGACGGGAAGTGAAGCAGCTGGAACACCAACTGGTACCCAAGTGAGATCCAGGTGCTTGAATGGGGAGGATTAGCCAACTGAGTCACAAGTACTGGCTAGTCTTCATCAGGATCCAGCTTCCTTTTAAAGTGCCTGGAAAAGGCAGCAGAAGATGGTCTAAGTATGTGGAGGCCTATTTAAGAGACTAGGGTGGTTCCTGGCTCCCAGCTTCAGCCTGGACCAGCCCTGGCTTTTGTCGCCATTTTGGAAGTGAATCCACAGAAGAGTTCTCTGTGTCACACACACATACATTCCTCAGCCCTCTTTCTCTCTTCCTATATAAATAAATCTGGGTGGGAGTGGAGGGAGTAGTAATAAGTGAAGCATACAAAGCATTAAGTGATAACAAATAGGGAAATAAAACACAGGACAAGTCTCGTAATTGCACTCTCCATGCCAAAAATAAGAAACACCTGAGTGGATAGTGTGCCACTCAAATTAGGTGCTTCAAGTGCATCAGCTCAGTGAGCCTCCTGGATCATCCTGCCAGGTGGGTTTAGGGGTATTATACCCATCTAAGAAGCAAGAAAACTGACTTTTAGAGAAATGAAAATAATTGCTCATGGCCACAAACCTATGAAATGAGACACCTGTGATCAAATTCATACCTGTTAGATTCAAGACACCGTGTGTCATTCTGCCTATATAATACTAATGTCAAAAACCAGCACTCTCAGAGGACCCATACTGCAGCAGCTACTAAGAATCCTCATCTTAAAAAATCAGGAGAACAGCCTCCAAAAGGCCAAGTAACTCAAGGGCAGCCATATTAAGAAGTTAGTGTCAGGCTGGGGTTTGAATCCAGGTCTGTCACAAACTGACACCAAAATTCTCTGCTGAGCTTTCTGGGAGTGCCCAGCAGCTGTCAAGTGGACTTCCTCTCAGAACCCAGCAGGAGGGAGGTGAAGGCTGGCTTGGCCAGTCACACAGCTATTAAGACACATCCATCTGAGAGTAGGCCAGCTGCCCTCCACCTAGAACGAGAATAGCCCTGAGAAACTCTCAAGCCTGGAACTGAAGTTGGGTCTTTTTTTGGATGCTAGAACAAAACATAAAAAAGTTTTCTTGGAAGTCTGTCTTTCAATCTGGAAAATGAAAATTTGGCTGCTTTCAAAGGACAATCTGTTCACTGCTACCTCTACATCAAAGCTTCCCAGCAACCTCCAGGAGCCTTTCCAATTTTCTCCAAGAGGGAATCAGCTTGGGCTGGAAAGCACAGACACACAGGCAGGCCAACAGCTGGACTCAGGTCACCGTCTTCCCTTTAAGGGGTCGACTCAGGGCTGAGGATGAGAAAAGAGCTGGCATATGATTTGAGTCTCTCTACCTATTGGAGTCAGAACAGAAACCCACAGGATAAAACAAAACAAAAAAATAAGGCCAATGAATGCTGACAGTCAGCCATGCAAATCTACAGCAGATTCTTTAGCTAATGAAAAGAAACCTGTTTGCATGCTTCAAAGTGAAAACCTGCAATATGCCTTTGTCATGATCATACTTTTTTTTTTTCCTGTGATTAGTTCTTGATCATACTCTTATTCCAGTGTACATTCAGCGCGGTTTTTGAGGCTGTCTGCTTTCTCAACATTGAGCTGAGAAAAAATTCACCACTGTTAACAGGAAGAATTAGCACACTTGTTCCTTAGTATGGAATCAAACTGCCTCATTCAAAATCTGAATTCTAAGCTTACACTCACTTCCTGATTTGGGAAAGTTACTTGACTTCTTAGTGTCTTGATTTTCCGCTGTATAAAAATAGGGTGGAGGCCTGGAACAGTAGCCTAGTGGCTAAAGTCCTTGCCTTGCCATATAGGCACTGGTTCATATCCTAGCTGCTCCACTTCCCATCCAGCTCCCTGCTTGTTGCCTGAGAAAGCAGTAGAGGATGGCCTAAAGCCCCGGGACCCTGAACCCATATGAAGAGAACCAGAAGAAGCTCCTGGAGGAAGTTCCTGGTTTCAGATGGGTTCACCTCTTGCTATTGCAGCTACTTGGGGAGTGAATCAGCATGCAGAAGAATCTTCCTCTCTGTCTCTCCTCCTTTCCGTATATCTGACTTTCTAACAAAAAAAATTAAGCAAGTGTACTGAATAAAAAAAGAACTATCTTCCTATTTTAATAGTTTCTTCATCAGGTAAGAAAAGTAATTCTCTATTTTTAGACTAAATTGTCCTCAGATTAAAAACTGGTAAGAGTCTAACAAACAAGTAGGCAAAACATTTTCTTGGCTATGCAGAAACAAAAAATGAAAGATGGACACTAACCCACAAGTAATCCCACATGTAATCCCATATGGTATTTAAATTTCTACTATCAATCTGCTGAAACAGTAAAACAAATTATACTTGATTTTTAAGTTGATATAACCATTAAACAATTAAAATTGAATCTAGTTTTTTTCATTGATGTTACCATGTTACATGTAAATATTTTTTGTCAGAGAAAAATATCAAGTATTTAAATTAAATGTTTGGTGCTTTAGGAATATGATTATTGCTACAGAAGTGCCCAGCATGCATTTGTTCCCAAACTCTATGGAATTTGAAATGGCTTACATTCTCCTACTGACTTCATAAGCAGATGAAGATCTTTCTCTCTGTCTCCCCTTCTCTCTGTAAATCTGCTTTTCCAATAAAAATAGAATAAATATTTAAAAACAAAACAAAATGAATACTACACTGATACAATCCACTGCTCGTAGTGATCCACACCACTATAATCCTTTCAGAAAGTAATTTAGGTACAATGATATGTATCATTTGACTTGAGGATCCTTTAATAGGAAAAAAAAAAAAGAAAGAATAAAAAGGATTAACTAGAACAGTTAAAAACTAGAAACACAAGAGTAGTGATTGCCCATAAAATTCAAAATTACAAAATAAGAATTAAAAAAGTAAAAGAAAAGAAAAGAAAGTCAATGTCCAAATGATAAGTAAAACATACAGAAGGCAAAACAGCATATATTTACCGTGGGTACTTATGTAAAGAGATCAGTGTGAACAAGGGGGATAATAATGTCAGATTACCAGTCAAATTTTAAGTCTGGCTTTTAGAAACTTATTAAGATGTTTTCACTATAAGGTCCTATTTGTTTATTCTTTTAAAAATAGCTTGGGTTACATTATTTTGTGCAGGAGAGTATATTTCCTATTAAAATCACCATAAAAATGACAAGTAGATTCATTTCCCTTTTGAGAATGATTAAAGAGCAACTTACTTAGAAAGAACTCCTCGAAGTCAGTTTTCTCCACACAGCTAGTGTACATGCGCAGGGCTGCAATCTTAATCTTCTAGACAGAAGGAAGAAAAACAAACTCAAGACGTGACCAAGAGGATTTTCTACTGCTAGTAGACATGAGTCACAAAGCTTCCATTTCTTTAACTATAATGAAGGGTCAAAACAGCCTCCAGGAAACTGAAACACACAGGTTTGTTTCTTTTTCTTATAGCTAGTCAATCACACCGACTTCACATTTTAGAATCTGAGTATAAAAATAGCAAAAAGTTTTCCCAGGGGCTGTTGTACAACCAAGGGCTAAGGTGTCACTTGAAATGCCAGCACCCTACTCTGGAGCACAGCTTAATCCAGACACTCCGCTTCCTGTAGAGACCAGGACACCAACAGAAGACAGTCCAAGAACTTGGGACCCCGTCACCCATGTAGGAGACCAGGATGGTGTTTCCATTCCTGGCTACAGCCTGGCACAATGCCCCTTGCTGCAGCCACTTGAGCAATGAACCCACAGGCAGGGAAAGAGAGAGGGATGTCTCTCTCTCCCTCTCTCCATCCCTCCTTCTCTTTCTCTGAAGTCCCGCTTTTCCAATCAGTCAATCTTACAAAAGAGCCTAAATCCTTACAATGCCAACATATCATACCTGAGTCAGTACAATCTCAGCTGCTCCACTTCTGATCCAGTTCCCTGTTAACACATTTAAGAAGGGCAGCAGAAGAGGGCCTAAGTGCTTGGATCTCTGCTACCCACATGTGAGACCGGGATGAGTTTCAGGTTCCTGGCCACAGGCTTATCCAGTTGCAGCCACTGCAGCTGTTATAGCCATTTGGGGAATGAACCAGCGGATGGAAGACCTCTCTCATACCTATACTTCTAACATTCTCTTTCAAATAAATAAAATAAAATCCCATAATTTAAACTCTCCCATAATTTCAACTCATTTGAGTCTCAACCTCACTGTTCAACATGATCCACATTAACTCTTTATAATCTGAAAGCCTTATTAAAATAACTAGCCATTCATCCAACTAAAGAGAGGGGGGAAAAACCAAGCCTCTATTCTTCCCTCAGAGATACTACTGTTTACTCTCATCAGTAAGGCTGATTTATAGAGGAGAGACAGGAGAAAGATCTTCCATCCAGTGGTTCACTGCCCAAATGGATGCACTGGTCAAAGCTGAACCTATCCAAAGCCAGGAGCCAGGAGCTTCTTTTGAGTCTCCCACATGGGTGCTGGGTGCTAAGGACTTGGCCCATGGTCCACTGTTTTCCAAGGCCTTAAGCAGGGAGCTGGATGGGAAGCTGAGCAGCAGGGACACAAATGGGCACCCATAATGCATTCCAGAGTTTGCAGGGGGAAGATTAGTCAATTGATGCATCATGCTGAACCTCAGATACCACTACTTATTAACTCTTTCAGGGATGGGGGTGTGTAGAAACAATGTCTTTCCACTTACATTGTCATTAGTTTTATAATTTGCATAGATGCAAATGAAACCAAAGAAAAGTCAATGAGGAATTTATAGGGCAATGTTAAATATGTATGATCACCAAGGTAAACTAAAAAGCAATACTCTATGAAATTCACACTTTCTAAAAATTTATTTATTTGAAAGTTAGAGTGACAGAGAGATATGGACAAACATCTCTGGTTCACTCCCCAAACTGCTCCAACGGCTGCGGCTGAAGGTGGATCAGGCCAAAGCCAGGAACCAGGAGCTTCATCCAAATCTCACACATAAAAGGGACCCAATCATTTGGGCTATCCTATACTGCCCTCCCAGGTACACTAGCAGGAAGCTGGATCAGAACTTGCAGTAGCACCCACATAAGATACCAGTGTTACAGGCAGTGGCTTAATACACTCAACCACAATGCTGGACTCTGCTCATGATTTTCTACACTCCCTACTGTTAAACCACCAATCTTGCTGATTGGCAGAAATATGATAAATTAAACAAGGATTATATCTCTGACTGTAATTAAGACTTTTTAAAATTGCTAATTTAAGCTCTGTCACATTTTCAATGTTTTAAACTAATGTCCATGTAAGATAAAATAGAACATATAACAAATGGAGATCAGATATGCTTCTGTGTAGAGTAAATAAACATTCAAAACCCACATTTAAACAAGATCCACAGTAAAACATTACAAAACATGAGGCAAATTAAACCTAAAAGTGAGCCAGCATTGTGGCACGGTGAACTGCCACCTATGATGTCATCATCCCATAGCAGTGTGCTGGTGTAAGTTTCCGCTGATCCCGTTCTCATCCAGCTGGTACTAATGCGCCAGAAAAGAAGCAAAAGATGTCCCAAGTGTCAGGGTCTCCTGCCCATGTGGGAGGCCCGGATGAAGCTCCTGGCTTCTGGTTGTGGCCTGACCAGCCCCAGCCACTGTGCTCATTAAGGTAGTGAACCGTAGATTGACCTCTGTCCCCATGTCTCTCTTTCACTCAAACATATAAAACAAATCTTTAAGGAAAAAAAAAAGTAATGAAGAAAAAAACTGAAAAGAGAAAAATGATACATCAACAAAGCCAAATCTACTTATACTTAGCCTTTTAAAATTATCAATGAGAGGGGGCCTAGCGGAACCGCATATGAGCACTGGCTCTAATCCTGGTAACCCCATTTCCCATCCAGCTCCCTGTTTGTGGCCTGGGAGAGTCAAGGATGTCCCAAAGCCTGGGGACCCTGCACCCACATGGGAGACCCAGAAGAGGCTCCTGGTTTCAGATCAGCTCAGCTCTGGCCGTTGCAACCACTTGGGAAGTGAATCATCAGATGGAAATACTTTCTCTCTGTCTCTCCTCTTCTCTGTAAATCTGACTTGCCGATAAAAATAAATAAATCTTTAAAAAAAATGCATCAATGAGAGAAGTGTTTGGTGGAGAAGTCAAGATTTTATGTTGGGGGCCCGACGGTGTGGCTTAGCGGCTAAAGTCCTCACCTTGAACCCGCCCGGGATCCCATATGGGCGCCAGTTCTAATCCCGGCAGCTCCGCTTCCCATCCAGCTCCCTGCTTGTGGACTGGGAATGCAGTCAAGGACGGCCCAATGCTTTGGGACCCTGCACCCGTGTGGGATACCCAGAAGAAGTTCCTGGATCTTGGCTTCTGATTGGAATAGCATCGGCCCGTTGCGCTCACTTGGGGAGTGAATCATCAGATGGAAGGTCTTCCTGTCTCTCCTCCTCTCTGTATATCTGACTTTCCTGTAAATAAATAAATCTTTAAAAAAAAAGTTTTCATGTTGGATGCCCACTTCCCATGTCACAGTTCCTCAGTTCTGGTCCTGACCTGCTCAGAGCTCCAGCTTCCTGCTAAGGCCCACCCTGAGAGGCAGCAGATAAGGGCTAAATTAGCAGCTGTGGGAGACCCAAACTGAGCTCCCAGCTTCGGGTTTGGCCTGTCCTGGCTCTGGCTGATACAGGTAGCCAGGGAGTGAGCTAACAAATAGGAGATCTCTGTCACAAACCTTAGCCAGAATGATCAAGGATAAAAACAAGAAAAATAAAGCAGCAGCAGTCTTTTGGCACAACGATTGAGGCACTACTTGGGACACCCATATCCAATATCAGTGGACAATATGGTGGAAATTGCAGTACAGTGGGTTAAGGTGTCACTTAGGATGCCTGCAACCCATATTGGAATCAGGTTTACTCCACTTCCAATGCAGCTTCCTGCTAACGTGCTCAGCAAGGGAACAGATGAAGGAACAAGTATTTGGGTTCCTGCCGCCCACACTGGAGATCTGAACGAAGTTCCAGGCTTTGGGCCTCAGCCTACCCCAGCCCTACCTGTCCATTTTGAGGGAGTGAACCAGCAGATGGAAGAGTGTTCTCTCTCAAATGTTTTTTTGACTCATTGGACTCATCAATTCATTCCAGAATGTAAAGTTAATTCAATCAATATTATTCAACCACAGAAGACCAAAATAAAAGCCTGTTTAACCTTGTCAATATGTACAGTTCTGGGAAGCATTTGACCATAGACCACACTAGTTTGCTCCTACATCAAACTGATATTATCCTAACAATATCATTAATAACACTATGGATAAGACGGTACAGTTTCTATCTGTGAGACACAGAATTTAGGACATCTAATAATCCTTATAGTTTCCTTCAGTACCAACACCTAAATCTCTGAATGCTTCCAAGGCCCAAATCCTTCCTTGAGAAAAATGTTTTCTCCCACACATTTGTAAAAAGCTTTCACTTCAAGTAATGAAAACGTCACCAGCTTGGCCGGTGTATTTATACAGTGCTCACAATGTGGCACCAGGAGCATTTTACAGTTCTTCACTTTTCCTGAAGCAAAGCCAAGCCTTTATACTTGGGTGAGCTATTTTCCTGGACAAATCTCTAAAGCAAGTCCCTTAAGACCATCACCGAGTGACTGAAAACAACAACTGAAGGAAAAAAACCTCTTCAACAATCAAGTACTGGGGCCAGCACACTGGCTCAACAAGCTAATAATTGTCCACTTCCAAGTGCCGGCATCCTACATGGGCACTGGTTCACGTCCCAGATGCTTCCCCTTCCCATCTAGCTCCCTATTATGGCCTGAAAAACAGTGGAGGATGGCCTAATGCCTTGGGACCCTGCACCTGCGTGGGAAACCCAGAAGATGCTCCTGGATTCAAATTGGTTCCAGCCATTGCAGCTACTTTGGGAATGAACCAACAGATACAAGATCCTTCTCTGTCTGTCCTTCTCTTTGTAAATTTGCCTTCCAATAAAAATAGATAAATCTTTAAAAAAAAAAAAAAGAAAGAAAGAAAGAAAAAATAATCAAGTGTTCATACAAGTTAAGGAGGTGGGAGAACTAACTCTCCACCCAGTCAACACAAGAGGCTCTGTGCTTCAGACGGTTTCAAGTTTACTTCATCTAACCTAGCAGGACTATATTATCCCTCTAACTAGCACAGACACCTCTAAGAGGGCTTTAGGAAATGCAAACCTGGTCTCCATATCTTTTGTCCCATTCTATAGATGAAAAACCAAACCTAGTAAAAGACTTGTGGTAAAAGCTGTGGGAGAACTGGAAGGGGCTTTTCAGTCATTTGGACCTCCTGCTCATACTTTGTGCTGGGATTCTTTCTACCACATTCTTGACTCATGGTCAACCATCTGGGCCCCTGTTCAAGCAAGACCAATGACCTTGTAAGGCTACCTACCCCACTGGAGGACAATTCTTGTTGTTAGATTTTTTTCTTTTATTGAACTTAACATCTGCTTCATGTAACATTCATTAAACATTATTCTGTCTACTGCAGAACCTCAGGTTAAGTCTTTCTCTCTTTTTTTATCTTTAAAACATTTGCTCCTCAAATACCTGAAAAGACCTATCAAGTTTTCTTTAGTCCAAGCCAAGCATCCCTATTTATTCAAACATATATTCAACACAGTTTTTTTAGGCTTTCACAAAACACACCGCACATCTGTGACTACATTTCAGGTTCTTAACTACTTGTCTGGCCAGGAATAATTTTTTGGCATAATGCTAACATGGAAGCTACATATTCCATGGCATGTGATTAAATCTTGTAAATACTGTTCCGACAAAATGTCTTACTCAGAACTGCTATGTAAATAATAATTTAAAAGAAACCACTGTATGAGACTATTCAAATAGGTCAAGGAAAAGCTATACTTAAAATTCTAAGTATGAGGGTCTGCTGTGGTAGCCTACTGGCCAAAGTCGTCTCCTTGCATTTGCCGGGATCCCATATGGCACTGGTTCATGTCCCAGCTGCTCCACTTCCCTTCTAGCTCCCTGCTTGTGTCCTGGGAAAGCAGTGGATGAGGGCATAAAGCCTTGGGACCCTGCATCCATGTGAGAAACCTAGAAGAACCTACTAGCTCCTGGCTTCAGATCAGCTCAATTCCAGACATTGTGGCCACGTGGGGAGTGACCCAGCAGATGGAATATCTTTCTCTTTGCTTCTCCTTCCCTCTGTAAATCTTTCCAATAAAAATAAATAAATTTTTAAGAAAAATTCTAAGTATGAGAGCCAGTATTGTGGTATATGAGTTAAGGCACCATCTATGACACCGATATATCATATGAGGATCAGAACTGAGAAAACAGTGGGAAAAAGACTAAGAACTTGGGCCCCTGCCACTGACATGGGAGATATGCATAGGTTACCGGGTTATGGTTCAGGCCTGACATTATCCTGGTCGTCACAGCCATTTGGGAGCAAACCAGTGCTTGGAAGATATGTCTCTCCCTCACTCTCATGACCTCAGTCTTTTAAAATAAATACATCTTTTTTGAAAAATTTAATGTAAGATTTTAAAAGAAAAATGAGAAATACAACTGAAAACATTAAAGAAGGGACCTGTTGCTGAGACTCAGTGAGTTAAGCCACCACCTGTCCCAGCTGCTGTAATTTTTTTTTTTTAAAGATTTATTTTTATTATTTTCTCATTGGAAAGGCAGATATACAGAGAGGAGAGACAGAGAGGAAGATCTTCCATCCGATGATTCACTCCCCAAGTGAGCCGCAACGGGCCGATACTATGCCGATCCGAAGCCAGGAGCCTCTTCCGGGTCTCCCACGCGGGTGCAGGTTCCCAAAGCTTTGGGCCGTCCTCGACTGCTGTCCCAGGCCACAGGCAGGGAGCTGGAAGGGAAGCGGGGCAGCCGGGATTAGAACCGGCGCCCATATGGGATCCCGGGCGTGCAAGGCGAGGACCTTTAACCACTTGCGCCACCGCGCCAGGCCCTGTAATTTTTTTTTTAAGAAGAATTACAGAAAGAAGGAGAAAAAGACAGACAGATCTTCTATCCATTGGTCCACTCTCCAAATGGTCACAATGGCCAGAGCTAAGTCAATATGATCCAGAGCCAGGAACCAGGAGCTTATTTCAAGTTTCCCACAGTGGGTTCAGTGGCTTAAGGCCTGGACGATCCTCTGCTACTTTACCAGACCATAAGCGGAGATCTGGATGGGAAATGAAGCAGTCTGGACTTGAAACAGCAACCATATGGGATACTGTTGCCACAGACGAAAGCTTAGCTTACTATTTCTGAGGCAATACTGCTGAAAAGCAGTTTGTATTTCATAATGAAGTTAAGTTACATTCCTCCATCTAAACCATCCTACACACTTTGATGTTTTGATGTCATAAATTTTAAAATGAAGATCAGAGAACGTAGATACTGCCACATCATGACAAATTTATAACATGCAATCTTTAGAGATTCAGTTGAGATTCACAACAGGGATAAAGATACATCGAAGGTTAACATAAGCTAGGAGAATAAAGGAATTTTCCTAATGATTTAGGAATCCTCAATGCTTGCCAATTTCCCCTCTGGAATCAGAACAGAACAGACCAGAACAAGCATACAGTAGCAAGCAAGTGCAACCTAAAAATAACAAAATTATTGTTATTAATTAATTTATCTTCCTGCTCTCATTTCTCTTTTAACTTGTAACGTTTAAACAAAATAGACTCAAAATAAACTTTAAAAAAATATTTTAAGTATTCAAATCCAAGTATTATAATCATAACCTCTTTGTTAAACAAGAAGAGAGATTCTGGTTAAGAACACTATCAAATATACAAACAGGGTTTGGCACAATGGCCTAGTGGTTTGAGTCCTCATCTTGCATGCGCCAGGATCCCTTAGACGCCAGTTTTATTCCTGGCAGCCCCACTTCCCATTCAGCTCCCTATTTGTCACCTTGGAAAGTAGTTGAGGACGGCTCTGAGGCTTGGGACTCTACACCAACGTGGGAGATCTGGAAGAAACTCCTGGTTCCTGGTTTTGGATGGGCTCAGCTCCAGCCATTGTAGCCACTTGGGGACTAAATTAGCAGGAAGATATTCCTCTTTGTCTCTCCTCCTCTCTTTCATTTTCTTTTAAGATTTATTTTTATTTATTTATTTTTTTATTGCAAAGTTAGATATACACAGATGAGACAGAAAGGAAGATCTTCCATCCGATGGCTCACTCCCCAAGTGACTACAACAGCCAGTGCTGTACCAATCCAAAGCCAGGAGTCAGGAGCTCTTCCGGGACTCCCACATGGGTGCAAGGTCCCAAGGTTTTGGGCCATCCTCGACTGCCTTCCAAGGTCACAAGCAGGGAGCTGGATGGGAAGCAGGGCTGCCGGAATTAGAACTGGCACCCATATGGGATCCTGGAGCATTCAAGGGGATAACTTCAGCCTTAACTAAGAGATCACACCAGGCCCTCCACTTCCCTTCTAACTTCCTGCCTGTAGCCTGGGAAAGCAATTGAGGGCAGCCCAAAGCCTTAGGAGCCCGTATCCGCATGGAGACCTGGAAGAAACTCCTGAAAGTGAATCAGCAGAGGCAACAGCTTTGTCTCCTTCTCTCATAAATCTGACTTTCCAATAAAAAGAAATAATCTTAAAAAAGAGAGAGAGAGAGAGGGCCTAGTGCGGTGGTGCAAGTGGTTAAGGTCCTCGCCTTGCACACCCAGGATCCCATATGGGCGCCGGTTCTATCCTGGCAGCCCGGCTTCCCTTCCAGCTCCCTGCCTGTGGCCTGGGAAAGCAGTCGAGGACGGCCCAAAGCTTTGGGATCCTGCACCCATGTGACAGACCCAGAAGAGGCTCCTGGCTTCGGATTGGCATGGCATCGGCCGTTGCGGCTCACTTGGGGAGTGAATCATCGGATGGAAGATCTTCCTCTCTGTCTCTCCTCTCTGTATATCTGCCTTTCCAATGAGAAAATAATAAAAATAAATCTTTAAAAAAAAAAAAGAAAGAGAGAAAAAGAAAGAGAGAAGGACAGACATAACGAAAGAGGAAGAAATTTTATATCTGCTGGTTCATTCCCCACATGGCAAAAATGGCTACAGCACACCAGTCTAATGCCAGGAGCCAGAGGCTTCCTCCAGGTCTTCCAAATGGATGGAGTGGCCCTAAGATTTAAATCTTCCTCTGCTGCTTTCCCAGGCAAGTTAGCAGGAAGCTGGAACAGAAGTCAAGAAGCCGGGACTCAAATTGGCATCCATATGGTATATATAGTACTGTGGCCAGAAGCTTCCCTCACTATGCCAAGATGCCAGCCCTAGGAAATACACTTTGAAGTTCCCAGAAACACAAAATATGAAATATAAATTCCATATTAACAAAGTAGTTACTTTAAAAAGCTTAAAAGCAATAAAGACAAAGACAAAAGAAAAAAAAACAATAAATTTACCCATTTACTGTATTTCAAAGGTCCTGTGAATCCCATAGCTTCAATTATCTTTGTAAAGGCACCAACTTTCTCTTCATCCGGTTGTGGTGAATCCTTTGTAGTAGAAAGCTATTTAACCAAGGAAAAGGAAACCAAAATTAGTTAAAGAAATAAAAAAAATTTAATACAATGTTTTTGTTCCTCATTAGGTGTGAGGGCATTTTCACTGCTTAGATTTTCTTTTTCCACCCACAATTTTTAAATTTGTTTTTCTTAAAATGTTTACTTAGCCAGCGTGGTGTGCCAGCATCCCCAATATAGCTGCCAGTTTCTGTTCCACTTCCTACCTAGCCCCCTGCTTGTGACCTGGAAAAACAGCGGGAGAGGGCCCAAGGGCATAAGCCTCTGCCGCAAAGATCCAGACGGAGTTTCTGGATGCTTGCACCAGCCTGAGCCAGCCCAGCCACTGTAGTCATTGCTTTCTCTCCCCAACCCCCAGCATCTTTCAAACAAATATGTAAATCGTTGTTAAAAAGTCATTCAAAACCATAATCAATAAAATGCATATATGAATAATATCAAAGCAAGCACTGAATATTTTTAAATCCTTATGTTCTTTATGTAACTAATTTTAACACAATCTACATTAAGAGTGACTACAGAAGACTATAATTTGGAAGTAAACAACCAAAAAACTATTCCGTTTATTTTGCTTTTAAAATGTATTTATTTTTATTAGAGTAACAGAGAGAAGAGGAAACAGAAAGACAGATCTCCCTTCTACTAGTTTACTCACATAATGGCTGCAATGGCCAAACTGGGTCTATCTGAAGCCAAGAGCTAGGAGCTTATTCCAAGTCTACCACACCGGTACAGGGTCCCATCGCTTTGAGCCATACTCCACTGCCTGCCCAGGCCACAAGCAAGGAGGTGAATGGGAAGTAAAGCAGCCGGAACCCAAAGCTGCACCCATAAGGAATCCTAGCCCAGCATATTGGCCTAGTGGTGGCTAAAGTCCTCGCCTTGAACACGCCAGGATCCCATATCTAATCCCAGCAGCCCCGCTTCCCATCCAGCTCCCTGCTTGTGGCCTGGGAAAGCAATAGAGAATGGCCCAAAGCCTTGGGACCCTGCATCCACATGGGAGACCTGGAGGAAATTCCTGGCTCCTGGCTTCAGATCGGCACAGCATCGGCCATTGCAATCACTTGGGGAGTGAATCATCGGACAGAAGATCTTCCTCTCTGTCTTTCCTCCTCTCTGTATATCTGCCTTTCCAATAAAAATAAATAAAATCTTAAAGAAAAATAAGAAATTCACAGGCTTGAAGCATGGTTCAACTGGCTACCCCTGCACCTCCAAGTGTGACTTCCCATATGGGCTCTGGTTCATGTCCCAGCTGCTCCACTTCCCATCCAGCTCCTTGCTTGTGGCCTGGGAAAGTAGAGGATGGTGCAAAACCTTGGGACCCTGTCCCCATATGGGAGACCCAGAGAAAGCTCTTGCCTCCTGGTTTCAGATTAGTTCAGCTCCAGACATTGAGGTCACTTGGGGAGGAACCAGTAGATGGAAGATCTTTTTCTCTGTATCTTTTCCTTTTTCTGTGGGTTTACTTTTCTTATGAAAATAAATAAACCTTACATATATAAAGAAACTCATAAACACTTCCCTAAAGTGTTTTCTTTCTTTTTTTTTTTAGATTTATTTTTACTGGAAAGGCGGAAATACAGAGAGGAGGAGAGACAGAGAGGAAGATCTTCTGTCTGGTGCAGAGTGCAAAGCTTTGGTCACCCTCAACTGCTTTCCCGGGCCACAAGCAGGGAGCTGGATAGAAAGCAGGGCCATAGGGATTAAAATCAGTGCCCATATGGGATCCTGATGCATGCAAGGCAAGGACTTTAACCAGTATGATATCGTGCCAGGAACCCTAAAGTGTTTTCTAGGCAAGGCAGTACAGCTCAAAAAAAGAGGGGACAGGGCCCGGCACAGTAGCCTAGTGGCTAAAGTCCTCACCTTGCACATGCTGGGATCCGATATGGCTGCCAGTTCTGATACCAGCAGCCCCACTTCCCATCCAGCCCTCTGCTTGTGGCCTGGGAATGCAGTCACAGACAGCCCAAAGCCTTAAGACCCTGCACCCACATGGGAGACCTGGAAGGGGAGGCTCCTGGCTTCGGATAGGCGCAGCTCCGGCCGTCGCTGCTACCTCGGGAGTGAATCAGTGGATGGAAGATCTTCCTCTCTGTCTCTCCTCCTCTCTGTATATGTGCCTTTCCAATAAAAATAAAATAAATCTTTAAAAAAAGAGAGAGAGAGAGACAAGGCTCAGAGGCTGGGGAATGGGAAAAGGGACAAAATCCAATCAGCGAGTCACTCTGCCCTGTACCTGAACCACGTCACATCACCTCAATGAGCCTCACCTATTCCCTTACACTCCCGGCCTTACCTATCTCGTTGGCGATTTTGTTTAGACACAAAGAACATCTGTGTGAAAGCACACTACAAACACAGAAAGCAAGAACAATCCTCACCTTATTTGTGGTGTGATACTTTCCACTCAGCTGTACATGCACTCCAGGAATCTGCACTGACCCATCACATCCTCGGGACTGGCTCATCTGGGGGTGCTGGGAAACAAACAAATGGAGTTACACCGCATATTCATTTGGACAGCTAATCTGTGCAAAGTGAAAACGACAGAATTTATCCAATCTTGCTTAGCCAATTTCTGATGATGTGATCACCAAGAGGATCCAAAGTAAGCACCATGAATGGTGTCTATACATGCCAGTGTTCAAGAAGTACTCTAGTCACTTTAAATATGTAAGAATTGGATCTGATACATCTAGAATAAAGTTTTAGTAAAATCTAGGAATTACCGCTTCTTCCAACTCTCCCAAGTGGACACAGGAACCCAAACTTAGACCGTCTTCCTGAGCGGCCTTCCCCAGGCACTTTAGCAGGGATCTGGGTGGGAAGTGGAGCAGTTAGGGCTCGAGTCAATGCCCACATGGGACACAGGCATCGTAAGCAACACCTTAACCTGCTATGCCACACTGCCAACTTGGCTGTTCTACTCCTGATCCAGCTCCCTACAAATGTGCCTAGGAAAGCAACCGAAAATGGTCTGAGTACTTGAGCCCCTGCACCCATGCAGGATACACAAATGAAATTCCTGACTCCTGGCTTCCACCTGTTCAGATAACCACTGAAATTATTTTTTTTTCTAGCTTTTTGTAAAATGTATTTATTTATAGATGCAGAAAGACAGGTAGTACAACCAACCACCATCCACTAGTTCTTTCTCCAAACACCCAAAAAAGAATATTACACCATGAGCCAATCCACGATTCCAATACCAATGACAGAAATCCAATTACTCAAGCCACTTCAACACCATATTCCCAGAGTATACATCAGCAGGATGCTGAGTCAGAAGTAGAACCAGGTAGAGAACTTACATACTCAAATATGGAGCACACGCAGCTCAACTAGAGTCTTAGATGCTAAGCTGAATGCCCACCCCAAGACAGATTTTTAACACTGATTTATTTATTGGAAAGAGTTAACAAAAAGAAATCTTCCATCTGTTGTTTTGGTCTCCAGTTGTCTCAAAAAAACCAGCCGCAGACCAAAGCCAGGAGCTTCTTCCAGGTCTTCCACATGGGTGGCAGAAGCCACTTCCAACTACTTTTCCCAGGCCATCAGCAAGGACTTGGACAGGAAGTAGACAAACTGGGACTCTGACTGCTGCCCAGATGAGAAGACAGTGTCATAGGCACCAATTTTACCTTCTTTGCCACAACACTGGTCCCTCACCCCAAGACCTTTTAAAATAAACAGAACAATTTAAGGGTCACAGCAAAGCTGAATGGAAAAGAGTTCACAAATGCCACCTCCCATTCCTCCACTATCAACATCCCCACTCCAGAGAAGTCCACTTCTTATCAACAATGAATCTGACGGATCTATCATCTTCACTCAATATCCAAAGCTTACAATTTTTTAAAAATATATTCATTTATTTATTTGAAATGCAGAATTAGAGCAAAAGAGGTTCATCTATTGATTCACTCTGGAAATGGTTGTAAAGACCAGAACTGAGCTAGGGCAAAGCCAGGAGACTGGCACGTATCCCACTTGGGTGGCAGGAGCCCAAGTAACTAGGCCATCTTCTGCTGCTTTTCCAGGTACATGAACGTGGGGTTGGCTCAGAAAAGGAACAGCAAGGACACAGGACCCTGGTGGGATGCCAGTGCCATACGCAGCAGCTTAATCCACTCTGCCGTAACACCAGCCCTTAGAGATTATTCTTTTTAATAATATGGGGGCAATGCTAGTAATACTCACACAGGCATCAATGCACAGTGGGGTAAGCTGCTGCTTAGGGTGCCTGCATCCCATACCTGGAATCAAGCTCAGAACTCACTTCTGATCCAGTTTCCTGCGTCTCAGAAGGCAATAAAGGATGCCTCAAATGCCACAGCCTCACCATCCACATGGGAGACCAGGATGCAATGGAGTTCTAGGTTCCTGGTTTCAATCTGACCCAGCCATGGCTACTGTATAGGTATTTGGACAGTGGGCCAGAAAACAAATGATCTCTCTCTTTCTCCCCATTGCCCCCATGATATTACCTTTCAAATAAAGAAGTAAATCTTTTTTTAAAAGATGTTAAAAAAAATGATGAAAGAAGCTTAAAGAGGGAAGAGGAATTAAGTGTATGAGAAGTTCACTCCCTAAATGATTTGCACCATCCAGAGCTGGACCAATCTGAAGTTAGGAACCTGAAACACCACCCATGTCTCCCACATGGGTGGCAGCAAACCAAGTCCTTGGACCATCCTCTGATGCCTTCCCAGGAACATCAGCAGGAAGATGAATCAAAGGTGAAGCAACTAGGACAAACAGGCACTCCAATATGGGATGCTGGTACTGCAGGCAACAGCCTTATCTGCTTTTCCACACTAACAGCACCTAAAAAAATCTGTTAAAAAAAAAAAAAAAAAAAAAAAAAAAACCTTGGGACCCACACTGTGGCTCAACAAGCTAATCCTCCGCCTTGTGGTAGTAGTATCTCATATGGGCACCAGCTTAGATCCCAACTGTTCCACTTTCCATCTAGCTCCCTGCTTGTGGACTGAACAAGCAGTGGAGGACGGCTCAAAGCCTTGGGACCCTACACCTACCTGGGAAATGTAGAAGCTCCTGGCTCCTGGCTTCAGATTGGCTCAGCTCTAGCTGTTGCAGCCATTTGGGGTGTGAACAAGCAGCCAGAAGACCATCTCTCCCTGTCTCTTCCTGTCTCTGTAAATCTGCCTTTCAAACAAAAATAAATAAATCCTTTAAAAAATTAAATACTCTGGCCCAGCACAGTGGCCTAGCAGCTAAAGTCCTCGCCTTGAAAGCGCCAGGATCACATATGGGTGCCAGTACTAATCCCAGCAGCTCCACTTCCCATCCAGCTCCCTGCTTGTGGCCTGGGAAAGCAGTCCAGGATGGCCCAAAGCTTTGGGGCTCTGCACCCATGTGGGAGACCTGGAGGAAGTTCCTGGCTCCTGGCTCTGGATTGGCTCTGCACCAGCCATTGTGCTCACTTGGGGAGTGAACCATTGGACGGAAGATCTTTCTGTCTTTCCTCCTCTCTGTATATCTGATTTTGTAATAAAAATAAATCTTAAAAAAAAAGATTAAAAAATTAAATACTCATATACATAAAATTATAGGTTAAACTTTGATCAGAAAAAAAAACAGAAATTAGTTATTTTATGAATTTAAAATCTGGTTCCTAAACTATCAAAAACACATGCAATAAACATGATTTTTTTCTTCAATTCTAACAAAGAAAAAAATAGATTTTCTAACTCTAAAACAACACTATTTACATTTCTTCTCAAGTCAAGCTATTAAAGAGTAGTCAGAATAGAGCATTGTAGCACAGCCCATTAGGCCTCCACTTGGGACACCTACACCCCACGTACAGTGCCTGGTTTGTCCTGATTCCTTGTCTTCTAATCTAGTTAATCCTCAAGTTTACCCTGAAGGCAACAGAGAACGGGTCGAGTAATTGAGTATGTGTCACCCATGTGAGAAAACTGGATGGAATTTCAAAGTCCTGGCTTTGGCCTGAACCCATCCACAGCAGCTGCAGGCACTGGGAAGTGAACCACCAGATTTTCTGTCTCTCTAAATAAAATACTCATTCAAAAAAAATTTACCAGGATTCTGCTGGTCAGTCTCAAGGACATTAAAGTTATGCTTTAATTCCTGAGTATCAAGTAATCTTTGTAAAACACAGAGACGATCTACACACAGAACATCCACCACGTCACACACATCAGTGTAATGCGTCACCTGGGACACCAAGCATGCAAACTGACTCAAAGAACACAACCAACAACAAGATGACATGCTTTGGACTAAATTCTCTTCAGCTTCATGAACATTCTGTGTCCCTATAACTCCAGAAGAAATAACCGTTACATATTTTTACTCTCCTATCATCATGAGTTGACATTTCACACTATATTCAACTGCCAAAAACAACCAAAAAACAAAACAAAACAAAAACAAATATCCACTACTAAGGCCAAAATCTAGTTTTCTCACACACCCACACATATCTATAAATACATATTTGCATTTTTTATATAACTAATATTTTACCTTGCTCCACAAAAGGATTTACCTAACCCCTGAAGACTTCAATTCTTCATTTACTTAAATACTAATAACATTTTGGGCCTGGCACAGTAGCCTAGTGGTTAAAGTCCTTGCCTTGAATGCGCCGGGATCCCATATAGGCACCAGTTCGTGTCCCAGCCGCCTTGCTTCCCATCCAGCTCCCGGCTTGCGGCCTAGGAAAGCAGTTGAGGACGGCCCAAAGCCTTGGGACCCTGCACCCGCATGGGAGACCCAGAAGAAGTTTCTGGCTCCTGGCTTCAGGTTGACTCAGCTCCAGCCATTTTGGCCACTTGGGGAGTGAACCAGCAGATGGAAGATCATCCTCTCTGTACAGCTGAATTTCCAATAATAATACAATAAATCTTAAAATAATAACATTTTGTAAAAAAGAAAAAAAATATTCCAACATGATTTTTTTTTAAAGAAGCCTACCCTGACCACTTAGGCTCTTGCCATCTCACTATGCTCCAGAATAACAGTAGTCTGTTCATTTCCTTCATGGTACTCATCATAATGTATCATTATATATTTATTTCTATACTTGCGTGTTTTCTACTGCCACTAGGAAAAACAGACATCAAGGGTAAGAACTATCTATACTACCAAAATCAAGTGAAGTACACTGCACATGGGAAATACTCAGATATCTGCTGAGTGAACAAAGCCTATCTGTACAATTTTTTTTCAGACTTATTTTTATTTAAAAGGCAGATTCACAGAGAAAATGAAAGATCGAGAGAGAGATTGATCCTCCATCCACTGGCTCGTTCCCCCAAATGACTACAACAGCCAGGGAGGGACAGGTACAAAGCTGGGATCCAGGAGTTTCTTCCGGACCTCCTAAGTGGATAAAGGGCCCACGGACTTGAGTCGTCCGCTTTCCCAGGCCATAGGTAAGAAGCAGGATCAGAAGAGGAGCAGTATGGACTAGAACTGGCATTTA